GAGGTAATCAGGGGGGTCTCGACGAGGTCTGACGAGTGGCCCAGTGCCGCAACGGCTCAAGCATAGGAAAAGGCGCTGGTCGTCGCAACTCTCGGTCTGACTCGTCCCACAGTCGATCGGGGCTCTTGGGGCCCAGGGTGTTCTCCATCAGCTGCGTCTCGTCGAGAGTTTTGGGTGAGGCCAGAGTTAAGGCAGTCAGTCAAGAACAGGAGATCGGGCGCAGTGTTTCATGAACAAGGCTGTCTCTGCATGACGCCCGTCGCCGCAGCAGTTGCTGCAGCATGCACGTCCAAGGATCTTGCATTTTCATCCTGTGTCTTTCCTCCTGCGCTTGCACCTGCGATGCAGGCGATGACGGCGATGTCGACACCGAGGAGGAGGAGGAGGAGGAGGAGGAGGAGGGAGGAGGAGGAGGAGGAGAAGGAGGAGGAGGAGGAGGAGGGAGCAGGGAGGGGTTAGGAAGAAGGGGCAAATCGGCATGATTCCCTTGTGGCGTTGTCCCGCCTCACTCCTCCTCGTCCATCCTCCTCATCCTCCCTCCTCCTCCCTCCTCGTTCCCTAGCCGTTTCGGCTCCTTGGCGCAGTGACCCGCGCAGCTGGCTGCTCCAGGGTGTGCCGCGGGGGCCGCCCGGAGGCGCGCCGGGCCCAGGCCAGCGTTTCTGCCGAGAGCGCCGATGGCGGCGAGCAGCGTGGCGGAGCTACCCCCCGTCACGGGAGCCGCGAGCGGTGAGGCGGTGGGTGGCATCACCCGGGAAGGAAAACCAGTGTCACTGCCGCGCGTTTCGCCCCTTTCAAGCTGCCCCCCCTTCAGGAGCGACAAAAGGACGTACACGTACATGAATCCACGCTGGTTTCGAGAGTACGCATTGCGCAAATGTTCGTATAACGCGGCCGGTCTCGCGGATCGAGGGGCCGTGTTCATGTACATAGCTGGGCGCGTACGTCCTTTGTGGGTTCCCTACCCCTTGAGTGCGTGCTGATCACCACCCACCACACCACCCCAACCCAACTCGACGGCCCTAATTTTCCCTCCATTCCCAGTGGGAGGGGTGTCGGGGAACAATGAAAAAACGCATGTGGAACCCGTACCCACCCCAACCCGAAATATGGGTCTTCGGGGTAAGGTTGGGGTGGTCGGATAGGTGGTCAGTTGACCCGTGCGTCTCGTGCCCATGCACTTTGGTAGAGGCTCAACGTTGGTGCGCGTTTCGGGTTGTTTCCGCAGAAGGCTCCCATACATCACGATAATGCCTGACCAGGGCCTTCGGGTGCGCCAGGATGCTGTAGAGATGTGCAGGCCCTCTTGGCCTTGGCCAGGAGGGCGTACGCACCATGCCAGGGCCCAGGGCGCTCCTGGCCAGGCGCGGTGGTGATGTACGTCGGAGGTGCCCTCTCTGCGTGTCGTCCAGCATCCCAGCGAACGTGTGACGGTGAAACGGCGGCGCGCCGAGGGGGCAGCGGGAGGGGGCAGGCTTTCACAGAAGGGTGCGGGGCTTCTCGGAAGCCTTTTGGCCTCCCGAGAAGCCCTCCCTCGGATGCCCTCTGAGCCTTCTGGTAAGGCCCGCCCCGCGGCCTTCCCACCGGACGCGCCGCCGCGTGGCAGAGATGCTGTTTCGTCTTCCCGCGTCACGGTCGCCGCCGTCTCGCTTCCCGCCCTCGCGGAGCGCGACTCGGTGCCGCGGGCGACTACGTCCGGGCTGTGGCGGCCCTCCCTTCCGCCGGGGAGCACGGTGCCTCCGGATAAGAGCTCCCGTTTTTTTTTTTTTGCTTCGCTCCGGCGATCTCGCGCGTCGTCGCCCGCTTGGGCCTTGCCCTCCCCCCTCCCCGTCTCAGGGGCCCCACAGCTGTGCGGTGACAGTGCCGTCCAGTGAGCCGGAGGTGACTCGGGGTGACCTGGCCGTTTTTCGGACTCGGGTCGCTCTCCGAGGACCCGAGGACGTCTCGGGCGCCGGGGGCCCCGAGAGCCCCGAGGCCGTCGGGCGGGCCGCCGTGGCGGTGGGGCCCTCGGTCTCTCGAGGGCTCTGCACGGTCTCGTCGCCCGCCGTCTCTGGGGCCCGAGCCCCTCGGTGGCTGGAGCCGGAGAGCCAGAGAAAGAGCCGCGCAGGCAGCGTTTTCGGGACGCCCCGGGGCGATTCCTCCGCACGCGCCAGGTCCCAGGGGGAGCGTTCGGGGCAGGCAGGCTCAGGGGGGGATGCCTCCGCCCCCGATCGCTCACTTGTCGCCGACAGGGACCCGACAGTCCACCCCGCCCAGGACAGTGCGGATTTGCTACCAGGGGCCTATCGTCGCTCTATCGGCGAGGTATCGCCGATTCCAGGTCGATGTTTCCCCCTCCCCCCCCTGAGCCAGTTCCGCCCCACCGTTGCCACTCATGGCCCTCTCACGCAATTTCCCGTGTGACCTGACAGGGCCGCCCAGGATCCGATTCAGTGCGAGTAGAGTCGCGGTCTCGGCCCGCAATTCCGACCCAGTCCGCCTCGCTTCGGTTCGGTTCGATACACCCGCCTTTGCCCGAGCAAGCCCAGAGCCGGTGGCGAGCGAGGGGGGAAGTGAGAAGTAGAAGGCCTTCTCAGGAGGCGGCGGGACTTCTGAGAAGCCCTCGCGCCTTCTGAGCTGAGAAGTTTTATTTTGCCTTCGGAGAAGGCTTAGAAACTTCCAGAAGGCCAGGGGGCTTCGACCCTCGCTCGCCGCCAACAGAGCCTGGCGCGGCGCTCCGAACTTGATTTGGCTCGGGACGATTCGCTGGCGATCCGATCCGCTTCCGATCCGATCCGCTTCCGATCCGATCCGAGTTCACGACTCGATCCGCGGCGGCGAGCCCAGGGGGAGAGTGCGAGAAGGGGCAGCCCTTCTCGGGATGCTCGGAAGGCCTCCGCCCTTCGGAGACGTTTTCTACGCCTTCCCCGAAGACACGAACGACTTCTCAGAAGGTGATCGTTTTCTTATTCATTGTTTTGCCGATCGGCGCGGGCCCTCGCACCCCCCTGCCGCCCCCTTTTGGAGTAGATCTTGGTTGTTTCTGGCGCCTTTCTCATGCAGGCGGAGTCTCCCCCATGGGACGCACTGTTGCGAACAGTCGCCTTAAGCAGAGGTTCGGAGCCAGACCCCCCCGCCTCCCCCACCCCCTTCCGCCCAATGTCGAAAGGCCGAATCAGAAGACGTTGACAAGGCACGAGGGCTCCTGAGAAGGCCTCCCCCTTGTCGCTCCCCCCCCAGGGCGCGCCGCCGCCGCCTTCCGAGAAGGCCTCCCCCTTCCTCGCCCCCCCCTCCGGGCGCGCCGCCGAGATCCAGCTCAGGCCTGTTGGTGACCCGAGGCCCCCCCCGCCCGACGCGGGGGGGCGCCACGGGCCCGGCTCGCCGGCGGCTCGGAGGATCGCCCCCGGAGCTGGCCCGCAGGCGTGCGAAGGCCATGCCGGTGCGCTCGCGGCGGGTTCTCGTGCCGCGTCGTCGCGGGTGCGGCCCCGGGGTGTGCCCGGAGGTCGAAGGGCTCCGACAGACACTGGAGCGGCCGATGTTTTGGCCGTTTTCGGTCTCCAGGGGCCCTCGCCGGGCCCCAGGACCGTCACCAAGTGACCACTGACCAGGATTGGGGGTTGCTCTTCGAAGGTGCCCCTGGCCCAAGGTTCCCCCGCCTCTTCGCTCCACTTTGGAGCCCCTGGGGACTCCTGGGCCTCGTGAGGGACTCTCTGGAGGCCGTGGGGGCCTCCCTAGAAATCCTGGGGGCACCTTGGACCACGGGCACTTCTAGCAACACCCGACAGGACGGAACACCGGCCCTGGGGACGTTGTGCAGACCTTCGAGGACCCGCGCATGAGCAGCCGGATGTCTGGGCTGAGCGCCCCCTTTAGCCGTCGCGTAATGGGGGGGCGACGCATGGGGGGGGGGGGCAGCGAGGCAGCGAGTGCTGCCGAAGAGGGGTCCTTCAGGGCCCCATGCAGGGGGCCCTCTGGGGCCCCATGCAGGGGGCCTCGAGGGCCCGAAGAGTGCACCTCTCTCTCGCGCCCCCCCCCCCGCCAGGCGACGGCGACGCCCAGCAGATCTCCGAGGGCCCACGCCTCGAGGGAAGTTGGAGCGGCCTGGTGTCTGGGTGCAGCGCCGCCAGTGGCCCGGGTCTCGTCCGGCATCGAGCGAGCTGCGCCGTCGGAGGGCCGCGGATTCACGCAGGGTGGAGGCATCCGCGCGCTGCCACAGGCCAGCGCAGAGAAGTCGCCACGAGACGAGCCTGCCTTGTGCGGAGTTTCCCCGACGACCTAAGTCCAGGCCTCCCAGGTGGGGTCCGAGTAACTAGTGAGATGGTGTCGAAGGATCGCCCCGCATCGACGCGGTGGCAGGATCCACGCGGTGCCAGAAGCCAGCTCAGATAAGTCGTCACGATACGAACCTGCCGTGTGCGGAGTTCTGGTTCCCTCAGGGGCAACGATAGCGGGGATAGGCATGGGGGGGACGCATCGACCTCCCAGTTGCCCATTCATCGTAGATAGGGGCCCAATAGCCCCACCCTGCGCAGGAACATGCGGATTCGCTATCGGGGGCCTATCGCCGATCTATCGGGGATGTATCGCCGATCCAAGGTCGATGTTCCCCTCGCCTATGCCAGTCCCCCCCTATCGTTGCCCCCCATTATCTCGCGCAAGTCCCCCGACCTTAGCCCCCCCCACCCCACGTGTAACATGGGGCCCAGGGGGGGCCAAGACTTCCAGTGACTTGAGCACTGGAAGCTTGTCGCAGTCTCTGGCGTCTGGAGAACGTTGCGGGGCCCCCCTGGGCCCTAAACCAAGCGATTCAGGATGGGAGCGTGGTCTGGAGAAAGGTTGTCGAGGGTTGCCGGAGCTGGCGACTCGAGAAAGGACGTGCCGTCGGAGGTCTGTGTATCGCACCTCGGAAGAAAAACGGGAGCTTTGACAATACCAGCGATCCCGAGCACAAGAAGCCCCGCCCGTCGAGGCTGTTTTGGGCAGGCAGGGCGTCCTTCGACTTCTGGCCGGGCAGGGCCTCGGACATGTCGTACAGCAGCAGCCTGAGCTTCGGGCGGGGGGGGGCCCGCATGCTCACTGCCAGGGAGATCCTCTGCGAGCGGGTCCAGCCGGCCCACATCCGAGCTTGCTCGGTCTGGGACGTCATGAAGGGCTTCGGCGCGGTGCTGCGCAACAACGCGGTGCTCACGCAGGAGATGCACGACAACATGTCCAGGGCCGTGGAGTCCATCGACGATTTCATCTCGCACTCGTGGAGGCAGCCACGTGCAAGAAAGCTCTTGGCGCTCGCGCTTGTGTACAACTTTTCCGCCGCTGTTGTCGCTGCTGCCTTGGGCGGGCTGCTCGGCTTTGTGCTGCACCTTACTGACGTGCTGCCAAATCCTGATAGCGCTATCTCCTTGGACGAGTCCGGGGAGCCAACCGGCTATGGAGCTCAGATTTTCGGCAATGCGATGTTTATTTTGACGCTTGTTTGTTGGGGGGATCTGAGGCACCTGTGCTGCGGTGGATCCGCCCCAGTAGTCTTCTTTGACAAGTACTGCATCAATCAATCTGACCTTGAGGCCAAGAAGGAGGGTATCAAGTCTCTCGGTGGTACTATCCAGGAGTCTGTGGCAACCCTGCCACCGTGCCCGCGAAGCACTCTCTGCGGCGACCCTTCGAGCACCGCCGCGGAGGCAGTCACAGGTAACGCCTCTCGGCTCCTCTTCTTGAGGAGCCCTTGTTGGGCTTCTTTGCCGTCTAGGGGCTGTCTTGGCCTCCCGTGGGGCAGCCGTGCGGAGTCCTCGGGGCTCTCTTCGATTGTCTTGGGCCTTCTTCGGTCATCTTGGAGTCCTGTTGGGCCGTCTCGGGTCCTCTTGCTTGACCGCCTTGGGGCTATTTTGGTAGCTTGGGGAGTCTGTCGGGTCCATTTTTGGTCCGTTTTGGACCCTCTTGGGTCCCTCTCAGGCCGTCTAAACAGGCAAAACACCCTGAGAAGCAACAATGTTTTGTTGGTCTCTCGAGGCTCTCCTGGAGAACGTCTTGGGGTGTCTTTGGACCTGTTCCGCACTTCTCAGGAGCTACTGGGTGCCTCTTGAGGCAATGTTAGGCCGTCTTGGTGGCCTTGTGCCCTGGGACCTTTCCCAGCCGTGTTGGAAACCTTGGAGAGCCTTGGAGGCCGGTAGGCGTTGGAGCGCCCATGCAGTTCGGGGAGGGGGTGGTATTGCATGCAGCTGGGTGCTGGGAGAGAGGGGGTCCGTTGGAAGGACTGCAGAAACCCTACCCGACAGCACCTGGCATTCGACCACGCCTCCACGTGCCAGGGGCCGCGGTGGTGGATTGCACATTCGAAGCGGCTTGTGATCCTTTCGAGCCGTAGTTATTGAGGACGCCTGCGGCGAGTCATCGCCGCATTTTGCTCTAGGCAAAGGCGCGCGATTGCTGTGGGGCGAATCTGGGGTGTCGCCACTGTTTCGGGTGTTCTTCCAGCTGGTACGAAAGCCATAGGGGAAATACCTTGTGCAGGAAGGTACGCGGGTGAGTGCCGAACAGTGGAGGATGTCATTTTACGTGTTGCTTAGCATTATGGCCTGGCGTTTGTGTGGGCAAGGCCACGTCGTGCTGGGCAGAGGCATGGTTTGCGAATGGCCAAATGAACTGTTGCGAACAGCCGCGTGGCCTCGGATCAGCTTTACTTGAGGGGGCTTGGCAGTTCATTGAGCTGAGCATCAGAAATCTCAGGGGGTCCTCGGGTGGAATTCTCCGAATGGTGTTCGGAGCTTGCGCAGGAGAGAAAAACGCACAGACACAAATAAGCGTCGATTCTAAGGAACATGTGGAAAACATGGGAAGTGTGGGGGGGGGGGAGACGGACGTCCAGAAAACAGGGGAACAAAACATGGGGAATCCTGGGATTTGTGCCTGCGTGCTTGCTTCTGTGCCCCTGGGACCCTCCAGTCGTCCGCCTTGGAGTCCTGCTTCCACTTGCTCAGCCTTCAGCCCTGCGGCCGCTGGCGTCGTCGTCGTCGCCGCCGCCGTCGGCCCCCCCGAGGCGGTGGGCCCGAGGCTTTCACTTGCCGATCCTTCCGCCTGGCGGCCGCCGGCCAGGCCTGGCGTCGGCCACTCGGGGACGCGCGCTCCAGGGCGCGTGCCTCGGGAGGGCGACGCCGTCACCGTGGTCGATGGCCTGCGGGGAGCTCTCCGCGGAGTCGCGTCTCGCAGGCGGTTTTTCTCCCCCAGCCCCCGACTTTGCGACACAGAAATGACGCCGCCCAGAAAAGGAGGGAGAGTCTGGGATACACCCGAACGGGGCTATTCGGACGCACCCCTGTCGAGGACGGGCGCCTCCCCATCCGTATATTCCAGGGTTGGGCCCCAAGTTTCTGGTCCATTCGAAAGCCCCACGAAGCCTGGGATAGGGACCGACATATCCCCTGTCAGCGTACTTGTACTTCCGCTTCTGGCTCATCGTGACGCTGTCTTGTTTGAGGCCCATGCGGCGCACTTCAGATAGGTCCCTGCCCTGGAGGATCGAGGGAGTTGGCATCTCTTCCTCGGCGGAAGGCGGCGGGACGTCGGCGCAAGCTTGCGGAAGTAAAACGAGGGCAGCTCCGCCGGCAGAAGCCTGCGGCACGCGGGCGGAAGCTGGCGGAAGTAAAAGACGCGTTCCCAGGAGATGGCATTACTATTGGGTTCAGGGTTTCTGGAGTCGGCCGTCTCTAGATTGCGTCAGTGTATGAGGGTCCTGAGGCATGCTTATTGTAGGTGAAGACGCCGTGGCTGCGCGCAAAAAGGCATGATAGTTCCTGGCATGATGTCTGGAATATGCGCAAGTGCGATCTGTGAAGAAAGCCTTCGCTGAACATGGAGCAAGAAACTCACGAAAATTATGGAGACATTGGATAAACTGGTGTCGGATAGGCCTCGTGTCGGATGGGCCTTGGAGTCTTCGTGGGCAGTTTAGGGAGGATGTCTGGATCATTCGGAAATTTCTAGACGCTCCGCGTATCCCAACCAATTTCGCGCTGTACGGTACGGTCGGAGCTTGGCGCCACGTGTGCGACAGCTCCTTTCCGTCCGCTTCCAGCCCTGTGCTTGCGTTCCCCTCTGTCGGGCCGCCAGCGTCAGCCCCCAATGAGGGTCATTTTGTCCTTGGCATGTGCACTCGCTACAGCGGCCTATGCGCCTCTGCAGCTAATTATCTCGCTCTGTGCCCCAGTCGAATCCGTCCCGCTTCCTGGACCTGTCCTTGTGAGCCGCCAATCAAAAAGTATCCCCACCAAGTTCCGTAGCCTGGCTCAAGCCGTCTGGTGGGCCTGCCCTCTCCGGGGCAGTCTCCCGCCGCTCAGGGGGGCGCCCGGACGCTGCGCCGCGGGCCGCGGGCCTGGGTCCCTTCCGTCCGGATGCCCGGGCGCGCCGCCACTGCTGCCGCAGCGCGGGCCTCAGCTGCCCCCCCCCCCGCAGCTCGCAGTGGCATGGAGGGCGGGGAGATGGACCGATCGGAGCACTCCGAGGGAGGTGGGGACCACACAGTGCGTGGCATGGGAGCCCAGGCGCTGGCCACGGTTGAACCCCCCTCGGACCCCATTCAGATCCAGGCTCCCCACAGGCAGCAACCCCCCACCATCAGCGGGCCAGACCAGGACCCAACCCCAGTTGAGTCCAGGATGCCCCCCGCAGCGCCGCACCGTGTGCCTGAACTAACACAGACGCGCTGCTCCTCGGGACGCGATGGCAATCCAGACGGGGACGAAACGAGGCGACAGACCCCCAGAGAGGCCCTCAACTCACCCCAGACGAGGCCTACTGAGGGAAGAGAAGGCGGCGGACCAGATGAGGACTACAGAGAAGGGGAGACGACCGTACAGGTTCGGGGGGACAGGGGCCTGACTCCCGCCATCCCCACTCCAGACCCCATCACGATCCCTGTCCCTCACGCGCCGCCCTCCTCCCCCCGTCACGGGGCCGCCCAGGAACCTCTACCACCGACAGTAGGGGCCATCCAACCCTCAGAGGCGGGCAACGGCTATCCAGAAGGGGCCCCGAGGAGCAGCGGATGTGGTGGGCCCCAGGGCGGGCCACGAGGAGGCACAGCAACACGCATCTGGTGAGGACGGCATCCGCCCCCTCGAGGAGCAGATGCCCATATCCCCCCAGACCGTGGCTAGCCACGCCCCCGAGGTACACGCTGGCAGCGGAGATGGAGGCACCCACCGACAAATAGAGATCTCAGTGGCGATCAGCTGCGACCCCCGCGCAAATGAAAGAGAGAACTTAGCGGCGATCAGCTGCGACCCCCGAGACAATGATAGCGAGTATTTAGCGGCGATCAGCTGCGACCCCCTAGCAACCACAAGTCAGGACCAGTGCGAGCAACCCACTGGGGGAGACACTTCGAAGGGCCTCGAGGCCTACGAGAGCGTGCGCCCCAGGACCGCGGTCGGACAGGGCCGCGACAGCTCTGCGGAGGCTCTCTCCGCCCTCCCCCCCCCCCTTCCGGCGTGCTCCTCACCTGACTTCTTCCCCTTCTTCCCCCCCTGGCAGGCGCGGGCGCGGTGCGCGCCCCCAACGAGGACTGCGCCATTTCCCCCGCGCTTCCCTTCCGCCCGATCGGGCTGGAAGGCCCGCGGCAGCCCCAGTAGGAGATCGGATGGGAGATGTTTCCTGAGGTGGGTGAGCCCAGTGGAAGCACCCCCGACAATGGCGCAGACAGCGCCAGGCGGGGCCCCGGCGTGATCGATGCCAGATCGGATCCTGCCACCCGAGAATGCCCGATCGACCCTCCTCCAGGCCTCCCCTCTCCACCACCGTCGGGCTCGAGCCAATGCGGGCAAGATGGCCATGGCCGCTGTCTTTCTCCTGGCGATCCCGGACACTGGCAGAACTGCCCAGACAGCTCAGAAGGGGAACGCTCGCCCGCTAGGCGGGTGGCCCCCAGTTACTGCTACAGCCCCAGCTTCGATAGGCTCCACTACCACCCCCGGCGATGCGGAAGTCGAGAGGCAGACGGGCCCTGCCTGGGCCCAAGGGTCGCAGACTCGAGGGGCGCCAAACGAGGAGGCACTCTCGCGGCGCTCGTGGCTCACCACGAACCTCGGGTGGGTCCGTGGAGGGATCTACCCAGGAGAGCGGTGCGCGACCAAACGATGCGTCGGGGCCTCGAGAACCTGATAAGCTTCTGCTGGAACCGCCACCCCCCCGGGCACCCTGGAGGTCTTCCAGAGCCCCATTCAACGGGGGGCGTGCCCAATCCATTCAGGGCCTCTCCTGAGCGGGGGGCTCAGCCCGAGCAGGGGCCCTCCCGTCACTACTACGCCGTCGGCCCAACGCTGGTCCAGCTCGACCTCTCTTGGCTCGTCTGGTCCATGACAGGCTCCGGCCACGAGGCGAGGCTGGGATGGGGTCGGGCCAGACCCAGTGCAGGTGCTGGCCTTCCGTTGTGCGAGCCTGACTCAGGACCCCGATATCGATATGGAACGACTGGATTGCGACAACCCAAGCGATGCAGAACTATGCGCGGCCCACCTGGAGTACGATGCCCTCCACTGCGCGGCTTCATGCACGGACATCGGGATGAGAGAGCCGTCTGACGACTTCCTCCCAGACTCCATGATCGGACTCTCAAGATGGCGACGCGACGCGGCCCCTGACTCGAGGGGCGTGGAACGGACCTCGAACGCAGGTTCAAGATATGCCGTTGCCTCATCCACGAACATCGCCAGAATCGGGTGCACTTCCCAGACCACAGAGAGGTCAGGGATTGGGCGGTGGACAGAGGGCAATGGATCGAGGCGGGCGACGGCGTCCTGTCGATGGGGCAGCACGGTGCAGGACCCAACGGCTGGGGAGCCCCTGCCATGCCAGGCGCAGGACCGCGCTCCACGGGCATTCCAGGAGTCATGCTCGAGGGCAACGACGCGCCCGAGGAGCCCGGGCCCTTCAACAACACGTCCCTCATGGTAATGTTCGGGGACTTCTTCCACCCCTCCACCAGGCGCGGGTATTGCGGCTGCTGGCTTGCACGGGGCCCCCAAGGCCCCGTGTGCATCGTCTGCCGCAGCGTCTTTCCTAATCCTGCGGCCGCCAGCTGCAGCCCAGCTGATCATCGTCACCGTCCTTGCGAGGCTATTGTTCATACCCAGCATCCTGCAGCGTGGGGTGCCACTTCAACCCCACCTTTGGTCGTTGACGGCAATCTGCTACCCCCCCGCGTGCGGCTCCCCGTCCTACCTCCTGTATGTCTCAGGCGAAAATATAATTTCCACATTTCCGCGGCTGTTAGCTGCGCCCTACTAGAGCACCTGGCATTCTGTCGCGGTGCTTTCGCGAGCTTCTTCACCCCGCCCTCGGCGCGGGGCAGCATCCGGCTGCCCCCCCGCTCGCTGCTCCAGGCCGACCGCCAATTCACGTGTCTCATGCGAAAACAATCGTTCCCCGTTTGTTGCGGCTGTTAGCTGCGCCCTACCAGAGCACCGGGCGCTCGCACGCGTTGCCAGTGCAAGCCTTCCGCGGCTCCCAGCTGTACCCTGTCACAGGAGCTGTTCACTGCAGTCGAAGCTGCCCCCCTTCGCACTGCGGCTTTTTGCCCCCGTCCGAGCTACGGGGCGTCTCATGTGGTGCACAACCCAGCAGGGCAGAGTCACAATCCTGGCGAAACTATTGTTCGCACCCTGCATCCTGCAGTGCTTGCCACCATATCTGTTCTAGCATTTGTGCTCGAGCAGTCGAGCTTCTTTCCATATGTTAGCGTGTGCACGTCGTGAGTGTGGGCGGGTAGGGTCCGATAGTGATCAAGAAAGCTAAGCAGGAGGTTGCAGAGCGTCAGAAGCTCTTTCTCACGTGGGAGGATATAGTACCCCTAGGACACGCATCGACGCTGCAATACCACAGAGTAGGTGCACTGGCATTGAAGTTCCAGATATGGTCGCATGTGCGATTGGCCTTCCGAGGAAGACTAGGTCATCAGGTAAGGGGGTTCACAGCGGACATTGCCCCGCATTTCGCGGGCCTGCGAGTGGACTGCGGCTTCGGGCGAATCCCATGGAGAGTGGTAGTCAACGTAGATCTGCCTGGAAATGCGGAGGGGCGATCCCCGCCCCCTCCGGTCTCGGTCGTGGGCAGCAATCGGCTTCCCCCGCGTCTGCCTCTCCATGTCTGCATTCGGATGCCCCCCCGCTCGCCGCGCCCGGGCCAGTCACCAATGTGTTGCAGTGTGCTGCAGGTCTCAGGCGATGCTGCCCCCCCATCGCACGGAGGCTGCCCGCCCAGCGGGCCTGAGCTGGCCCCCCCCATCGAGCTTCTGGACTCAGGCGGCGCAACCCTCCGCCCTGAGCTTGCGTGCGTGGCAGGCCCAGGCTGGCCATCCCCCCCTGGCTGGCTTGGCGTGGCTCTGTCGCCGCCGGAGTGTTTTCCATCGGCGGAGGATCGAGACGGCGCCGTGCGCTAGCCTGGCCGGGCTCGTGGCTTGCCCCTTCGTGGCTCGCTGTGGCAGCGACCTTCGGCGGACTACGCGATCTTGGAGCTGGCCTGGCGGAAGGTGTCTGCGTGCCGTGCGCTCACTCGCCCTTCGTACTTGCGGCCATTCTGTGACGTTGAAGCTGCGTGCATTGGACTGGCTTGGGTCAGCCTTACTACGAGTTCCGTTTATTCGGCAAGGGGCGGTCGTCTCTTCCCCGGTTTGAGCGTGAGCCGCGGCTTTCCTTCTCTTCTGTTTCGCCTCGTTTCCCCTTCTTCCTCGCTCTTGCGTCTCTTTCGCTTCGTTCTTTTCGTCCCACTTGCGCTGTCCGCGTAGTGGCCCGTCTCTTTTTTTCCGCTGCCTTGCACTTGCGCGGCTTTGCACTTCGTTCGGTTTTTCTTGACGGTGAGCGGCTGATTCCGCGTCACTCGCAATCAAACAAGTATCCCCGCCAACACATCCAGAAACGATGTCCAGGCGAAGTGAGGTGATCAGGGAAGTAAGGGAGCAAAGAGGGGGGTGGCCGACCCGTGCGAAGGAGGGAGGCGGAAAGGGGCTGGGTGGATGGACGGATGGATGGATTGATGGATGAGGGAGTGGTGAGAACGAGGATGAATATGATGATGCTGATGCTGATGATGATTGTGATGAGGGGGTTATGATCATGATGATGATGGTGGTGGTAATGGCATGATGATGGTGATGATGAGGAGGAGGAAGAGGATATTGGATGGATTGATGGATGGATGAGGGGGGTAAGGAGCATGCGTAGGGTGATGATGATGATGGTGATGTTGATGATGGCGACAATGATGATGATGATGGTGATGATGATTATGATTGTGATGATGATGATGATGATTATGATGGCGATGATGATGATGGTGATGATGATGATGATGATGGCGATGATGATGATGATGATGATGATGATGATGATGATGATGATGATGATGATGATGATGATGATGATGATGATGATGAATGATGATGATGATGGTGGTGGTGGTGGTGGTGGTATGATGATGAGATGATGATTGATGATGATGATGATGATGATGATGATGATGATGATGCTGATGCTGATGATGATGATGATGATGATGCTGATGATGATGATGATGATGATGATGATGATGATGATGATGATGATGATGATGATGATGATGATGATGATGATGATGATGATGATGCTGATGATGATGATGATGATGATGATGATGATGATGATGATGATGATGATGATGATGATGATGATGATGATGATGATGATGATGATGATGATGATGATGATGATGATGATGATGATGATGATGATGATGATGATGATGATGATGATGATGATGATGATGATGATGATGATGATGATGATGATGATGATTGATGATGATGATGATGATTGATGATGATGATGATGATGATGATGATATGATGATGATGATGATGATGGTGGTGGTGGTGGTGGTGTGGTGGTGGTGAGGTGAGGAGGAGGACGAGGAGGAGGAGGAGGAGGAGGAAGAGAAATAGTAGGAGGAGGAAGGAGGAGCAAGAGGAGGAGGGGAAACAAAGGGGCCAGAGGTCTCCTGGATGCCTTTTCGGAGCCTCTTGGGATATCTCTTGGGCGCTCCTTCGTGGCTTGTTGGGACGTCTTGGGTGTCTCGTGGCGTTCCTGGGGGGCTCTTGGGCGTCTTGGGTGCCTCGGGGGGGCCTCTTGGTGCCGCTTGGGGTCCTCTTGGGGGCCTCTTGGGGGCGTCTTGGCTTCTCCGGATTTTTCCGTAACGGAAAAGGGGGCGGTTGGTGGGCCCATTCGCGCGGGGGTCAGGATGACGTGAAGTCTCGAGGCAAGCTCCATCAACTTACACTCGAGACAAGCTCCCTCCAATTGCACCATTCAAGCCTGATGATTTTTAGGGGCATGAAGGTCCACCATTCAGTGCTTATGGCACATAGGCGGATTTCACACGTCTTTGGACCGTTTTCGAGATTGCATGTTTCATGTCTGTCCACACCTTCGATTGCCTGGTGTTCATGCCAGAGGCGATACCCAGAGTGCTGATCGTAAATGTCGTTTTGTTTATGTTTGTGAAGCTCACGTACAACGCGTCCTTGCTCTATTTTGGCGGGGTCTGGTTGACCCGGATCTAAAAGAACAAACCACCGCATAAACATAAAGGTTCGGAGGTCCGCGCGGAATTCTTTGATTGGCGCTGGACCCCCCTGGCGTCGCCTCTTGCGCCCAGGGAGGGGGTCCAGCGCCGACCCAAGAACTCCGCCCAGACCGCCGACAGTTTATGTGTATGCTGTGTTTCATTCCTCTGAAATCTGGAGCTTCTTGGCAGTCGGTTGCATGGTGGGCATCGTCTCGGTCCTTATCATACTACGCGGCGCGGCCGAGGAGTCCGCTTCGCTGCAGCGCGTGCTGAGCGCCTTCACGATCCAGGCCACCCAGTGTCACGACGAGTCGGACCGCCTGCTCGTGCAGGGGCACGTGGCCATGCTGGAGCTGTCATTGCGGAAGGACAGGGAGGATAACTTCTCGGAGGAGCAGGCGCTCGATAGCTTCAACACCCGCGTGCAGGAGGAGCTCGCCCCCGCCGTCTTGCTCAACCTGGGGCGGCACTGTCTCCCCTACAAAGTGATGGCGGCATGTGCGGTTAGTAGTTGTCTGGACGGCGTGGACACCCTGGCAGTTGCGCTCCATGGTGGCGCGGTGCGCTACGGTGTGCTGAATTTCCTCACAGGTCTGGAGCAGACCTTCCTCTCCTTCCCGCTCATGACGATTTTTCTGAATTCTCTGGCCGCCCGCCGGCTGGACATGCGCCGAGGCAGGCTCACAGAGCTGATGTTCATAGTGGCGAGCAGCGTGGCGGCGCTCCCAGCAATCTTCGCTTTTCTTGGGCTGCCCGTGCTGCTCAAGAGGCTGGCGTACGAGTCCGACGTCTACGCCGCCGCCTTGTGCGCGTGGGTGCTCCTGGAGCTGGTCACCACGCTGCGCCTCTTCAGGTAGTCTAAAGCACGCTCCCGAGCAGTCTGTCGTGCGTGCGGCTCCCGCGCCCACCAAGCCCTGCCCCTCCCCTTCCTCGTGCTGCCCCTCTCCTCCTCCCCCTCTTCCTTCCTCGTTAGAGCTGTGGAGCCCCGTCGCCGCAGCCGTGCTCCTTGGGCGGGAGGGCGTCCTTCGATTATGTTAGCGCGCCAGCACTTCTCCTGCCGCACTCCTCCCTCTCATCCTCTTTCTTCTTTTTCTCATCCTGCTCCTCCCCCTCCTCGTCCTCCTCCTCCTCCTCCTCCTCCTCCTCCTCCTCCTCCTCCTCCTCCTCCTCCCCCCGTGTCGTTATATATGCTGCCCAGGGCCTTCACCCTCGCACGGGCAAGTCCTTGGAGCCTGTTCAGTGTCAGTTCTTGAGGGGAGGGCCCTGTCGGTCCGCGGCCAGGCTCAGTCCACACCTGTACCGTAGGACGCCAACTCTGATGGGTCCCCCTCTGTACTGCCGTATACGTTGCTTTAGGCCGTGTACTCTACCGCTGATGCGGTCCTTCTCATTTAGTCGGGCGGTTACGACTCGTTCCCGCCTCGGCTGCTCGCTCCCTCCTCCCCGTGTCGCCACCCCAAGAGGCTAGGCGTCACGGTCGCCGTCTTTCTATAGACTTTTCCCAGGAGAAGGAGGAGGACCCCCTGTGCCTCCTGAGCCTCCTCTTCCGCCCTTGGAGGTGGATTCGGAGGATGCCCGTGAGTTGCGCGTCGCGGCGACGATTCTCCGCCTTCTCGGCGCAGCCTCGGGCGCTCAAGCGAGTGCCGCATCTCCCGATGTCGAGTCGGGTTCTGACTGTTCACTCTCTCCTTCCATTTATAAACGCCTCGCCCTCCCGCTTGGGTGTACGTGGGCTGCGGCTTGCCGCTGATGGCAAAACAAGCATCGTCCTCCTCCCCGTCCTTTGCGCGCTTCGCGCGACGCTTCTTTGCAGAGTTGTATCCTTCTCCTCCTCTTCTCTCTGGGAACCTGCAGGTAGTCTTCCATGACCCCCGAAAGCGCCCAAGAACGTGGGAGAACCGCTGAACACCTACGTAAGACAGTCGAACACCTCCTGTCCCTTCGCTCAACAACTGAACCGCTGAGAGCCGCCGCAAGTCTCAAACATCTTCGACCACTTCCTTCTTTCCCATCCCTCACTCCCTCCCCCCTCCCTCCTCACCCCGCCTCTTCTTACGCCGTCCTCCCCATCTTTTCTGTCCTCTCCCCCCTCCTTCTCCTCTCTCTCCCTCTCGTTCTCCCCTTCGCAGGACCTTCCTGTGGGGTGTGGTTTGGCCAGAACTTTGAGGTAAGTCCAGCCGTGTCGACAAGAAGCCTCGCAAAGGCACAGAGGGAGAGAAAGAGAGAGAGAGAGAGGGAGGGAGAGAGGGAAAGAGAGAGAGAGAGAGAGAGAGAATCACAGAGAGAGAGAGAGAGAGAGAGAGGGAAAGAGAGAGAGAGAGAGAGAGAGGGAAACAGAGAAGGAGAAAGAGAGAGAGAGAGAGAGAGAGAGAGAGAGGAAGAGAAAGAGAGACAGAGAAAAGCCCGTAGCCATTCTGGCTCAAGGGGTTCGGGGCCCGAAACCCTGCACGGGGGCGCCCGGCGGGCGCCGACTGCGGCTCGCGGTCCTCGGCGGCGGGCGACGCCCCCTTGGCCTGGGGATCGGCCGCGGCGGGCGTGGTGGAGTGCCAGTGCGATATGGGGCGGCTCTCGATTCAACGTCGACGGTGGCCGATGCCGCTGCGTTGATGATGAGGCTGCAGGCGGCGCACTGCGAGGAGACGGCAGCAGCCGGCGCGGCGGAGACGGCGGCGGCGATGCAGGCGGCGGCCAGGCCCGACTTGGGCGGGGCGGCCGCGCGCAGCAGCTGCTGGGGGCGGCGGCGGAGGTGGTGGCTATCTTCGAGGGCGCCACCTTGGCGGCGGGCCTGAACCGGCTTCGGCGGCGAGGGGGGGGCGGTCCTCGCGCAGGCACGCGCTTGGCTGCAGGGTGGTGCAGAGGCCAAGCTCACGACCTCGGATATCGCCCAGAACATCGGCATCGAGCAGGAGGCCGAGATTTTTTCCGTGGGGGCCGAGGCCACGTGCGCCGCGGAGTCCTTCGACCTGGCTTCGTCTGTGGCGGAGTCGCAGGTTTGGAGTAGCGACGTGGTAGACTCGTACCAGGAGAAGGAGCTGGGGCTGACCGAGTGCGACGTGGACCTCAGTGAGCAGCTGGCGGAACGCTCGGCCGCGCAGGAGTGTGCGGAGGAGGTCCAGCAGGCCTCGGATCTCGTCTTGGGCTTCGGGTTCGCGAAGGCTGAAGGTGGGATTTTCCCAGAGGAGGGCGCCGCGGCATCCTTCGACCTGGCTTCGTCCGGGGCGGAGTCGCAGGCTAGGGGCAGCGCCGACCGCGAGAAGGAACGGGGCCAGACCGAGCACAGCGGGGAGCTCAACGTGCAGGTGGGCTTCGACGGCTCGGCCGAGAAGGATCTCGAGTGTGTGCGGGACATCATGGAGCGGCTGTCGGTGGTGCACAAGAAGCTGTTCTCTCTGCAGCTGTTCGACGCCTCCGATCTCCCAGAGGGCTTCCGTGAGGCGCTGGAACAGCAGCGGGCCCACTTGTGCAAGGCCTTGGGCATCGAGGACGGCTTCGGCGCTGCGGTCGCGAAGAGGCGGTTCGACGCGGAGCTCGACGAGCCGGTGGCGAACGACCATGCTGAGTGGGAGCGTGGCGGCGTCGGCATCGACGGAAAGATCGGGGAGCTCGAGAACGAGTTGGCGGCGGCGGAGGCTGCCCGTGCCGCGGTGGACGCGCAGCTGGTGCAGGCGAAGGTGCGGGCCGCCGACTTGCGGGCCCAACTGGTCTCTGAGGCGTGCGTCGACGAGCTGACGTACCCGCACCTGGCGGCTGGGGTGGCGGTGGCTGGCCAACGGGCGTCGGCTGGGGAGGCGGGGGCATCGGCGGATGGGGATCAGACGGCGGAGCCGGGCTAGGAGACCCCGAAAGGCCAGGCCAGGAATGAGGCGAGGGCTCGCTCAGTAGTGTGGCACAGAGCCGTGGCTACGGTGCCCTCGACCTTCGCAGGCACACCTGATGAATTGTTCGAGCACGCGAGAGCGGCGCTGACTGCCGCAGGGTGGGAGGTCCCAGCCTGGGATGGGGACCTCCGCGGTGCGGTGGAAGCTCTCAACAAGCTGGAGCGCCAGGCTGCGAAGGGGGCCTCTGGTGGCAGGAGGCGCTGCAGGCAGCCGCCAAGCGGGGCCAGAGCCGCGCAGGTGGCAATTCTGAGCGCATAGCCATGGGCGCTGGGAGTTCCATTGCGTCCAGCGTGCGCCTGAGTGCTCGGCCAGATTGGAGCAGCACTGCGAGGCGTCTGTCGGCCTGTGAGTGGCATGCTTAGGTGCGTGCGCTCCTGCTGGACTCGGCTCGGGTTTCTTTGTCAGGTTCGGGGCCGTCCTGGGGCACATTCTGGCAACCTCGCCGAGGTTTCCAGAGTGCTGTTTGGGGTCTCTGGTCTGGGATCTTGCGTGGGTCGGGCCAGCCCAGCGGGGGTGGGGCGTGTGGCTTCCGAGATCCGCGCGGGTCTCGGAAGGTGCATGCTCATGTCAGTACCCTGTCTGGGGTCCTCGTCGCTGCGTGGGGTCGGATGGTGCCGCCGCCCGTCGTTCGAAGCGACGGCGTGCTGGGCTTGGGCGGGCGCGAGAGGCGCCGTGCCTGTGCAGGATTGTTCGGGGCGTCCGCGGCCTGTGGGACCGCGCGCGCCCACAGTCAATGCGCAGAGAGAAAAACGAGAAAGCGAGAAAGAGAGAGAGAGAGAGAGAGACAAAGAGCGAGAGAGAGAGAGAGAGAGACAAAGAGACAGAGAGACAGAGAGAGAAATAGATAATGGAACGCGCCCCACAGACCTCGAACCTCGACCTCCGCAGGGCATCCCCGCGTGGTGTCCCCTGGCCCGAATCTCGAGGATCACATTGCATCTTGGATCACATTGCAGAAAAATGCACGCACGAAACCGAACAATGCACAGGGGTACAGCCCTTCCTGAGCCTTCCCGAGCGCGCTCAGGGCGTTCCGGAACTCTCCGAGAGGGCCGCGGCGCCCGAGACATCCTCCAGAACCGCAGGGTCTCAGAGATTCTGGATCCGCGTTCGTCGGCATCTGTCCTTGTCCTGCCGTCGCCTTCGCTTGGCCCACCCGTGGAAAGAATGGTCCTCGAGCCTCCTCGAGCCCTGGCCCTTCAGCCTCGACCGTCGAGCCTCTCCCCCCTGCGGCGAGCGCCCCCCCCCCTCTCCACTGGGAGGGCCCCCTTCGGCCTCGCTCTCTGGTCCCCCTCCCTCCCTCCTCCTCCTCCTCCTCCTCCTCCTCCTCCTCCTCCTCCTCCTCCGCCTTCTCCTCCTCCTCCTTTTCCTTCTCCTCCCTCTCCTGGCACCTGGTGGCATGAATGTTCGTCGGAACGTGGCCTCCCCCTCCTGCTTTCCCTCCTCTCTCTCCTCCTCCTCCTCCTCCTCCTCCTCCTCCTCCTCCTGTTCCTCCTCCTCGTCTCCCCTTGTCAGGGCCCATTTCGATCCGATCGGTCCGACTCGACATCGGCTTCGGCGGTCCCCATCCGATGCGATTCCGATACTCCGACGATCCGATGCGGCCCGATCGTTGCGTGGCGCTGTTGTGCATCCTGGCGCACCCGACCCGATTCGATTTAGGTTCCGTGCCGATGCGCCCCGATCCGACACATGTCGATTCGAGCCGACTTCCATGCAGTCGGCACGGATTAGTAGGTCGACCCTGTCAAAGCAGGGGTACTCTGGTATCCTGTGCATCGCGCCGGGTCGGAAGAATTTTGTGTCCAGGGCCGTGTTGCCGTCGGAAGAGTCTTGTGTCCTGTCGCTTCTCCTGTGCACTCAATTCTGCTTGTTTTCGATGCTGATTGATCCTGCCTTGTGGCGAGTGCCTCCCCCACCCGCCTCCAGGACGACCCCCCCGACTGCATCGCGGGGGGTGCGGAGGCCTCCTTGCGGCCCCTGGGCGCCGCCGTCGCCGCCGTCGGCAGCGGCCCGTCGGCGGTGCCGACGTTTCCCGCCCTGGTCAGGGGCAACCTTAGGGGGGGACCGCCTCATGGGGGGACCATCGCGCCAGCATCGGCGATACCTCGCAGATACGGCACCACACCCCAACGAGTACGAGTACGACGAGTACGACGATTACGACGAGTACGACGACGACGACCACGACGACGACGACGAGCACGACGACGACGAGTACATCGAGTACGACGAGTACGACGAGTACGACGACGAGTACGACGAGTGCGACGACGATGACGAGTAGGACGAGTGCGATGACGACGACGACGACGACGACTAGTACGACGACTACGACGATGACGACTAGTTCGACGAGTGCGACGATGACGACGAGTTCGACGAGTACGACGAGTACTACGAAGAGTACGACGAGTACGACGACGAGTACGACGAGTACTACGAAGAGTACGACGAGTACGACGACGAGTACGACGAGTACGACGAGTACGACGACGACGAAGATGACGAGTAGGACGAGTACGACGACGACGAGACGACGACTACGACAACGAAGACCCCGCCGCCACCGAAGGATCAACGATAAGGGGACCAGCTCAGGGGGGTGGAACCATCGCGCCAGCATCGTCGATACCTCGTCGATAGATTGGCGATTGCCCCCCGACAGCGAAACCACAAGGTTCCTGGGCGGCGTGTGCTTTCAGACTCCTATGGGTAATGTATCGCCGATTCCAGGCCGATGCTCCCCCCTGAGCCTATCCCCGGCTAGCGTCAGGTGCACGGCGCGGCCAATAATGTGGTTTCCAAGAAGGTGGCTCAAGAGCCCCGGTTTGGTTTCAGAAGGTGGTTTGTAACAAGCTGGTTCAGGAGGAAGGAGGATGGTGGGAGGAGAGTCAAGAAGGCGGGCGTTCTTCAGCGCGCCACTGCGCACTTCTCCTCAGCTCCCGCATGGGGCCGCACCGCGCTCGGAGGTCCCTGATCCGTATCTCCCCCCCTCCTGACAATGCCCCTCGCTGAACAGGAGGGCCCCCTGTGCTGTACCTCGGCTCTCCTGCGGCCGTTCGGGCCCGTGGAACGCCTTCGATGAGGGCCGACCGGGGGCCCCAGGGCTGTCAGACACCTGTTCCCGGGGCCGAAGAGCTGCCCCCCAGGAAGGGAGGGGGTCGCGGCCCTTGGCGTCCGCGGACGAATGTGTCCTCCTCCTCCTCCTCCACCTCCTCCCCTCACCCCTCCCGTTCCTCCCCTTCCTCCTCGAACACTTTTTGGAAAATCGCTCCCAAACACTTTTTGGAACATCGCTCCCTTCTCGTTGCCCCGCTCCGTGCAGGAGGCCCCCCGTGCGGCCACGACGACGCCTGCCCGCTGCAGCCCTCGGCCACGGCGGGCGCTCGGCTGCTCGGCGGCGCGCCCGTGGGCAGCCGATCAGGCTGCGGCCCCCCGCCGGTCGCGCTGGGCCAGCCGCGCCGCCGGCTGACCCCAGCCTGAGGGATGGCGTCGGAGTCGGTGGCGGACACCCGAGGAGGACAGTGCACCGGTACCGCTGCCCTGGGCCACCCAGGCGGGGTCGGAGCAGAGACGTCGGCGGCGAGCCCAGGGGGGGAGGTGAGAAGGGGCGGGCCTTCTCAGAAGGCTCGGAAGCCCCCCGGCCTTCTGAGAATTCCCCCGAGCCTTCCCCCGGAAGACGCAGAAAACTCATCAGAAGACGCGAGGGGTTCTGAGAAGTCCCGGCCTCCTTCTGAGAGGGGCCTCGTTTCCCCCCCTCGCTCGCCGCCGATTGTCGTCGGTCCGTCTGTCGGTCGGTCGGTCGGTCGGTCCCTCGGTCGGTCGGTCGGTCAGTTGGTCGGTCGTCGTCGTCGTCGTCGTCGTCGTCGTCGTCACCGTCGTCACCGTTACGGTGATCGTCATCGGGGCGATGGGGCACGGTGAGAGCGAGGGAGGAACAGGAGGATGATGAGGCATGATGAAGGAGGATGGTGGTGATGATGATGCAGCTGCTGATGCTGCTGATGCTGGTGATGATGCCAATGATCATAATTAATGCTGATGCTGATGATGCTGATGATGATATGCTGGTGATGATGGTTATGAAGAAGATTGTGATGATTGCTGATGATGGTGATGACGATGGAAAGGATGATGCTGATGATGATGATGTTGATGATGATGCTGATGATGATGACGATTATGATGCTGACGACGATGATGATGGTGATGACGATGATGATGACGATAATGATGATGATGATGATGATGATGATGATGATGATGATGATGATGATGATGATGATGATGATGATGATGGAGATTATGATAATGCTGATGATGATGACGATGATGCTGATGCTCATGAGGATTCTGATGCTGATGATGCTGATGATGCTGATGATGATATGGATGATCATGAGGATGAAGTTGATGACGTTGCTGTTGATGATGCTGATGACGATGATAATGATGCCGATGCTGATGATGCTCATGATGATGTTGATGATGATGAAGGTGATGACGATGATGATGATGATGCTGATGATGATGATGCTGATGATGATGATGATGATGATGACGATGATGATGATGATGATGATGATGATGATGATGATGATGATGATGATGATGATGATGATAATGAGGATGATGCTACTGCTGATGATTTTGATGATGATGCCCCTGATGATGCTGATGCTGCTGCTGACGATGCTGATGATGATGATGCTGCTGATGATGCTGCTGCTGCTGATGATGATGATGATGATGCTGCTGATGATGATGATGATGATGATGATGATGATGATGATGATGATGATGACGACGATGATGATGCTGAGTTCGACGATGATGACGATGACGATGATGAGGATGAGGATGAGGGTGGGGGAGGAGGAGGAGGAGGAGGAGGAGGAGGAGGAGGAGGAGGAGGAGGAGGAGGAGGATTGGCTTTGAGGAGGGCTGCGAGGAGTAATGCTGATGATATAAATGCTACTTCTGCAGATGCTGCTGCTGATGATGATGATGATGATGATGCTGCTGCTGCTGCTGATGATGGTGACGACGATGATGTTGATCATGCTGCTGCTGATGATGGTGGGGCTACTTGTGCTGCTGATGATGGTGACGACGATGCTTTCCTTGCGATGCCGCGCGGAGCGCGAAAAGGCACAGCTGAATTGGTCATATCCTGCGGTGGGCTCTCTAAGCCCACGATAATACTGCAGAGGTATGACCACTTATCCAGCTGCTTGCGGGAAACACCGCCACCACGGTCTGAGAAAAGAGGAATCGTGGAAGGGAGGATGGGATCAAATGACGGGGAAGGAGGAAGGGATGAAGAAGGGCAAACGGGGTAATAATCTTTCATGGAAGAGGAGGGGAACGGACAACAAATATAGAGGCGGGCGTTGAGGATGAAGGGAGGTGGAAGGAAATGATGGAGGATGCCCCTCCACGCCCCGTTCTCCTTCCCCCTGATCCTGCAGAGGTCTCCGAAGGCTCTTGAGGCTCCCAAGTTCTATACGAAGAGCGTCAAACCCTCGATACTCGTCGTGGGTGGGAGATCCAAGGCCTCGCGGACCGGTCCCCTGGGCCGCGACCCATTGATACGTGGCGTGTTCTTGCGAATGCCCCGCTCGGAACGTTTCCATACGACCGCGTATCCACGGGACCGCTCCCCAGTATCCAGACCGCAAGGGCGTCGATATGGATCTGTCCCCCGCTTGTGACCTCGATCCTCCTGGTCGATGCAGTTGATCTTCGAGAACATCGAATCTCGGTCGCTTTCCTCCGCCGCCGCTGCCTCGGCTCGAGGCGCGCGCGCGCGCGCCCACTGGGCGCCCCTGCGCGCCCGTGGGCAGCCGACAAGGCTGCGGCCCCCCGCCGGTCGCGCTGGTCCGGCCGCGCCGCCGGGGGGGCCCTCAGCCTGAGGGATGGCGTCGGAGTCGGTGGCGGACACCTGAGGAGAAAAGTGCACCCTGGGCCACCCAGATGGGGTCAGAGTAAACGTCGGCGGTGAGCCTGGGGGGGAAGTGAGAAGGGGCGGGTCTTCTCAGAAGGCTCGGAAGTCCCCTGGCCTTCTGAGAAGTTTTCGAATCCTTCCCCGAAGATGCAGAAAACTCATCAGAAGGCGCGAGGGCTTCTGAGAAGTCCCGGCTGCCTTCTGAGAAGGCCTTCTCCTTCTCACTTCCCCTCCCCGCTCGCCGCTGACAGATGGGGTCGGAGTTGATGAGGTCGAAGGATCGCGCCGCATGGACGATGTATCGGCCATGCGGCTCGATGGGCAGCTCGATTTTCTCCACGCCAGCGTTGCCGATGCACTGCCGACGTCGCTGGTGCATCGTGTCGTGTCGTGTCGTGTTGTGCCGACGCGGCGGCGTCCTCGCCGCGTGCATTCAAGGTTGAACGCCGCCAGTGGCCCAGAATCGGCCAATATGAAACGATCTTTTGGCGATCGAAACGCCGCCGATCGCTTAATGTTGAAGGATCCACGCGTTGTTGAGAACCAAGGCCGGGGTCATGACGACACGAACCTGCCGTACCGATATCGCTGCCCCTGCCTCGTGTGCGCCTTCCCGGGCTTCCTGGGAGGACTTCGTGGCCACGGCTAGCTTCTCCTCGAGATTCTGGCCACAAGGCACCCCAGCAGAGGTCTCGGGAGTGGCGGTATCGGTCTTTTTGTCTCCCCAGGACAACTTCAGTTCCCGCGAAGATGCGAAGAAGGCGAAGCAGCTGCAGGAGGCCCGCGCCGCCGGAACGGCGGCGCCCGAGATCGATTCGTCCACAGGGGCCATGATCAACCCGCACAACCCGCAGTTCATCACGTCGGCGCCCTGGCGCCCCGGGGGCGGCGAGAAATCCTTCCTCCTCCTCCTCCTCCTCCTCCTCCTCCTCCTCCTCCTCCTCCTCCTCCTCCCTCCCTCCCTCCCCCTCCTCCTCATCCTCCCCCTCCTCCTCCTCCTTCTCCTCCTTCTCCCCCTCCTCCTCCTCCTTCTCCTCCTCCTTCTCCTCCTCCTGCTCCTCCTCCTCCTTCTCCTCCTCGACACAGCCATAGCGCATCGTGAGTCCGACACTCCACAAGGGGGGGGGACGGAGTCAAACGCCCAGCCCACGTCCCCGAATCCCGCGACACCCTAGAGCTAGGTGCCGCACCCTCCTGGCGGGGCTCGAGGGGGGGAGAAAGAGGACGACGAGAGGAAGAAAAACAACGAGGCGCCAGGCTCACTACGTAGATCGTGATGACCACCACCAACCCGCTGAAGGCGGGCGGCCCCCATGCCTCCCTGGCTCTGCAATCACCAGGGGACACAGGTTGCCCCACGTCGCCGTGCGGGGCACACGGCGCGTGTTTCCGCGCATGGGTAACCAGGCCCACCCCCGCAGAACTCCTTGCCCAAGGGGGTCAGGTGGGACCACGTCTCTGAGCTGTGCCCACGAGGGCTGAACCCCCCTGACCACACCTGACACCGCAACCTGAGGGGCAGGCAACAGCAGTAGCCAGAGCCTGCCCCCAATCCAGGCAGGTACCGTACAGGCCGACGTGCACCCATCGCGAAGGACGGGATTGCGCCGACCCAGGGACGGGGGGAACGGGTACCCTCGCGGGACCCAGAGGCCGGATCCCCGTGGGACCTGAGACGGCAGACTTGGCCCATTTGGGGGACCACCCCAGCTGGTCCAGGGGTGCCGCCCCAGGCCCGACAGGGCGCCGACCCCCTGGCCCGCGGCGCCGCAAGCGACGTCTAGGCGGATTTCAGTGCACCTCAGGGTCCCCGATGCGCCGCCCACGCACCGAGGTGCCCCCCTGGGGGCACCCCTCCTCCTCCTCCTCCTCCTCCTCCTCCTCCTCCTTCTCCTCCTCCTCCTCGTCGTCGTCCTCGTCCTCGTCCTCCTCCTCCTCCTCCTCCTCCTCCTCCTCCTCCTCCTCTCCCTTCTCCTCCTCGTCCTTCCTCCTCGTCGTCGTCGTCCTCCTCCTCCTCCTCCTCCTCCTCCTCCGCCTCCTCCTCCTCCTCCAGGGCCTCCTCGCCCCCCCCTCCTCCTCGCCCTTGTCCCTCCTTTTATCCTCCTTCTCGTCCTTGTCCCTCGCCCGTTCGCCTCGCCATAGCTAGGTCTCGCCTGGCCACGGCCTCGCCCGCCTCCTCGTGGTCACGGCCTCGCGCGCCTGGCCATAGGCAGGCCCAGAGGATGCTTCGCACTGGCGGCTCGCTCGCTTGCTCGTCTTGCTCGTCCCGCCTCCTCGCCCTCTCTCCTCCTCCCCCTGCAGGGCTCGAGCGGAACGGTGTTTTAGCGATGTCGTGGGCAATTTTCGTTTTGGTTTCGTCTCGCAGCAAGGGCAGAACGAAGACAAAACGAAGACAGAACGAAGGAAAACACAAACAAACCGAAAACGAGAAACACTGTTTAGCTCGAGCCCTCCCCTTCATCCTCTCCTCCTCGTTCGGTCGGCTGGGCGCTGGCGCCCGTCGGCGCTCCTCTGGCGTCCTTCGGAGTGGTGGGTGGCGGCACGGGCACCTCACACCGCTCGTGGTCCCCGTCGCTCGTCGTCGCTTTCGCTCCTCGTCGTCGTCGTCGTCGTCGTCGCCGTCGCCGCCGCCGCCGCCGCCGCCGCCGCTCGGAAGGCGCCAAGTATGCACCGCGCCGGTGCTGCCTCGGCCCGCTCTCGAGCCCCTCATCGGCGTGCGCGTGTGTGTGCGTGCGTGCGTGCGTGCGTGCGTGCGTGCGTGCGTGCGTGCGTGCGTGTGTGTGTGTGTGTGTGTGTGTGTATGTGTGTGCCGTGCCTGTTGCAGATTCCCCACCCCGTCTTTCCCACACTTTGGGACTGCCGAGGCCTCCTGCGTGTCCAGCCCCTGTCGGCCACCCTACCGCGGTCAGCCCTCCCAGTAGCCGGGTTCGTCGGGTTATCAGCCCAGGCGCACTCTCCGCACCTGGATGTGTCGTCGGATCCCGCCGTCTTTGTTTGCGCACGCTGCCCGAGTTTTGTCACTAGCCACCCACGGCTGGGTGGTCATGTGCGGGCGGCCCAAGGGGTGGTCTTGCGTCCGAGGGCTCGGCCGCGCGCGTTGGTTCCGTGCCGTTCGCTCGACTTGCTCCGCCTCGTCGCTGCGCGCGAGGGGGTGTGCAGTCCCAGCTAAGTATGCGCCGGTCTCCGGCCCAGGGTGGGCACGGCCAGCATCGGTGGATAATGGGCATTCCCCCCCCCCTCTTAGCCGCCGTCGCAGTGCTCGTCGCCGCTTGGTCCCCCTGTGGCGGGCCCTGGGGCCACGGGGATCATCCCGAGGTCCTCCTCCTCCTCCTCCATTTTCCTCTCACCCGGCCCCCTGCTTTCCCTCCTCCTCGCTCCTCCGTCCCCCCTTCTCTCTCCTCTCTCCATCCCCTTTTTCCTCATGCTGCTCTTCTCGCACCCCTCTCTGTCTTCACCTGGGGGAAGCAGTCAGTCTGGCTTTCTCTTTCTGCAGTCTCCCAAAGCAGGCATCCAGCCTTCTGTAAGGATATCGAAGTACGAACAATAGTATACGGATGAATATGATGATTGTAATGACGGTGCTTCTGATGGTTTTGGTGCTGATGATGCTGCTGACGTTCATGGCGGCGATGCTAAGGGTAGTGATGGTGTTGACGGTACTAATGGTGATGTTCATGATGGTGAGGATGGTGGTGGTAGCGATGGCGATAACAATAACAATGACATTGACGACGACGACGAGGATGATGAGGATGATGAGTATGATGATGATGATGGGGACGATGATGATGATGAGGGTGATGACGATGATGAGCATGTTGATGAGGTTGTTGTTTGTGGTGGTGTTGTTGATGATGATGATGGGATGATGGTGATGGTAATGGTGATGGTGATGGTGGTAGTCATTATGATAATGTTATAATGTTGGAGATGGTGATGATGATCATGATGACGATCCTCATGATGATGCTGCTAATGATGACGATTACAACGACGATGAATATGACGATGATAATGATAATGATGATAATGACGATGATCATGATGCTGATGATGACAATGATGACGATGATGACGATGATGATGATCATGATGATACTGATGCTGGTGATGATGCTGTGGATGATTCTGCTGCTGCTGGTGATGATGCTGATGATGATGACGGTGATGGTGTTGATGGTAATGATGCTGATGATGCTGTTCATGGTGATGATGACGCTGCTTATGATGATGCTGATGAGGTCGATTTTCATGATGACGCTGATGATGATGATACTGGTGACGACGACGATGAAGTTGCATACGACGATGCTTCTGATGGTGCAAATGATGGCGATGCTGATGCTGCTGATGATGATGATGAGGATGACGACGACGGCGATGATGAGACTGATGATGACGATACGATGGTGATGGTGATGGTGATGGTGATGATGCTGATGATGATGATGATGCTGATGCTGTTGATGATGATGGTGATGCTGATGCTGATTATGATGATGATGATGCTGATGCTGCTGCTGCTGATGAGAATGATGATGATGATGATGATGATGATGATGATGATGATGACGACGCTGCTGCTGCTGATGCTGATGCTGATGATAACAATGATGACGATGATGATGATGACGATGATGATGACGATGATGATAATGATGATGATGATGATGATGATGATGATGATGATGATGATGATCATGATGATGCTGATGATGGTGATGATGCTGTGGCTGATTCTGCTACTGCTGGTGATGATGCTGCTGATGATGATGACGGTGATGGTGTTGATGGTAATGATGCTGATGATGCTGTTCATGGTGATGATGATGCTACTTACGATGATGCTGATGATGTTGATGTTCATGATGACGCTGATGATGATGATACTGGTGACGACGACGAGGAAGATGCATAGGACGATGCTGCTGATGGTGCAAAGGATGGCGATGCTGATGCTGCTGATGATGATGATGATGAGGATGACGACGACGACGATGATGAGGGTGATGATGACGATACGATGGTGATGGTGATGGTGATGGTGATGATGCTGATGCTGATGATGATGTTGATGCTGTTGATGATGATGCTGATTATGATAATGATACTGATGATGATGATGATGATGATGATGATGATGATGATGATGATGATGATATGATCATGGTTATGGTGGTGGTGGTGATACTGATGCTCATGCTGATGCTGATGATGTTGCTGATGATGATGACGATTATGATGATGGTGATGTTGATGATGTTGATGAGGATGATGCTGCTGATGATGATGATGGTGATTATGATGATGATGATGATGATGATGCTGATGATGCTGCTGCTGATGAGGATGATAATGATGACGCTGCTGCTGCTGCTGCTGCTGCTGATGATGATGATGATGATGATGATGATGATGATGATGATGATGATGATGATGATGATGATGATGATGATGATGATGATGATCGGGAGGAGCAGAATTAGCATAATGGTGTGGTTTCCAGGGGGAAGGAGGAGGGGCACTACTCAACACACACACACATACACACCCGTCGTGGAATGTCTCGTTGTCTTTTCCCGTCTGCCCGCAGGTACCTGAATCAGAGCA